TCTAATAGCTACAGCAGGTAGCCCTCTGAAAAGTTGTGTCCCTTCAGTGCAGGTTAGGGCCACACGAATCCTTCATGAGCCTTGTCTCCTAGTGACCTTCTCAGCATGGCTTTGCTTTGGGGGGAAAAAAAGCTACCCATGTGACTGCAGTAATCCGCAGCCAGTAAACAGCAGACAGAAGGGTTGCAAGAGGAACTGGACTATTTTTATGCCCTGCAGAGTCCTGAGCAAGAAAACCTGAGACAGGAGGCAGTGGCGACACCAAAACTCACTTCCTAGTCTTTTTATTCATGACACAGGCCATTTGCATATTTTCATTTTAGATTCCTCACAAATTCAAATTTCTCCTCACGATTATAGGTGACTGTAGCTAGGTGCTCTAATGGATTTATAATGGCCCCCCAAAATCAAACATCTAAAGCCTGCTGGGTCACAGACTGAAAGGAGCCGTTACTATTGGATGAATTCCAAATTTCCCAGTAAAACACAGCTGCTGCTGCTGAGAAATGGGAACACAGAGATGTATAATCGTGCTCTCTATTCCAGAACACTCAAAGAGCTTACCCTCTTCACAGCACTGAGGGGAAGAAGGGCCAGCTGGGTGGTCATTCTTCACTCCTGAAACTTGTCCTCCTTCCCTTACTCCCTTCATAATGAATGACCTCCCGAAATCCAAAATGCCTTCCAGAATAGATCTTAAAAGGAAGTGGCAGTTCTCCTGATTCCCCAGTCTCTCCCATTCAGGAAGATGTAATTGTGGCACTAATTTGGGAGTAGCAGACTATTTGTTGCTACTCTATTTAGTGCCTGAGCATGCAGTAACTATTAACTATCAGCCCTACTAGTATTACTGTTGTTGTTATTGCCATTATCATTATTATTAAAACTCATACTGAAGGGGAAGGGAATCAGTCTTCAGAGGGTTCAGTCTTCACATTTCTGGGAAACATTCTTAAGACCTGGACCTGTAAGTTTTTGTTTGTGGGGAGGACATAATGAATTTCACACTGAGAATCTCTACTTCAGGAATTTTCTGATGAAAGTGTAGTATATCTCTCAGTCACATGAGACTCAGAATTTCCAGGCCTTTCCTGTCATTCCGTAGGCATGACCCCACAACTAAAGGGGCTTCCAGTTGGAGGATTCTTTGTTTCTCCTCCTACAAAGGTGTTAGACTGTGAACCTTCAGAAGGAGCAGCACTGCCCGGTGAGAGATCTCCTGTCCCTCAGCATAGGCTTAGCCCATTTTCTCCTTGCACAGTCTGCAAGTCCCAAGGGGATGTGTCATTCTCCCTCTGTCTTTATAAACTGGTGTGGTCTCGAACATTCATTATTTGTACACCAGGAATTGCTAATCTAGGCTCCACTGCTCAAAGATTTAAAAACTATAGAACAAAAGGGGCATAGCGGGCCTTCACAATGAAATGGTAGGCCACTAGACCTTAGTCACTATTCTGAGTATTCATCTGAGCCATGGCCATGGCCTTCAATTGTAGATTTGAGGTACTGTCTATATTAAAGGCTGGATGTCTCCAGTTGACTCCTCAGGGCCTCAGAAGGAATTAGTACCTATTGACAAGCCAACCTGGCATGCCTTCATCTGCTCTACAGACTTTCATGTATTTCCAGCTTGGGGAACATTCTATGAACAGGACACCAATCTGAGCTAGGGACATTCTGAGCAGAAGACTTGAATCAGGGCTGCTAGGCAGAGTTTCCTAGAAGGTTTCTGCCATCTGGCACTTGGACACCAAGTTGAATGCTTCCGTATCTCATTCACCTTCCTCTTAGGTCTTCAGATCTTTCTGAGACTCAATGTATAAAAAAGTCTAGAATGATTCCAGCTCCTTTAGCTGGGGGTCATGCCTACAGAATGACAGGAAACCAAGACAGACAGAATCTCAGTGCCTGTCATCAGCATTCTCTAAAGGGACTTTATATGTATACACTAAATCCAGAGCCATAATTGGACAAGTTTAATTGGAGTCACTTTTGTGCAAATCATGGATGAAAAAGTAAGTTTTAAGTGCGTGTGTAAAGGAGGCACTTGTCACTGTTCACACAGGAACTAGAATATCATAATAGGACATTCTTACAGAATTAAATTTTTAAGGTTCTTGAGTAGAGGAGACTTTCCTCTTTTTGTTTTCATTTCCATTAGGATTTTGAAGGAATGTCAGTGCACTGTTATTAACTCTAATAGCTTGCACATCGCAGCCAGGATGGTGTGGGGCCCTCTGGCTCTCAGGTTACCTGTATAAATATAGGGATTCACTTCCCAGAGCCCAGTTCTGCCATTTGCTTTAATAAAGAGCAAATGTGCAGAACCCAACAGCAGCAGCCTGACAGAAGTAGTAATCTGAACAGGATAAACACGCTTCCTCTTTGTGTGATGCTCTCTCTCCATCCTCCTGCCAGGAGCAGGATATCAAATGAAGGGGGTTGTGGTTGGAGTCAGTAAAGTGAATATCTAAGTGGCACCTGCTTCATTCAACAGATCTACTTTCCCGGGGCCTCCCACTGCACATCTGTTCCTGACAAAGCCTCTTTTCTCCTCCTGTTGGTCAGACTGAGAGCAAAGACCCAGCAAGGAGACATGTTGGTTTTGCTTTGTTATCACTATTGCCTGTGACATTATAATTACACCAAGTCTTCTATTAAGACCCCAATTTAGAGATTTTCAGAGCCTAAGTGGGGTTTTCAAAATGAAATTGATAAAAACATCTTTGCCGTTGTAAAGCCAGCAATTAGATCTGAGAATCATTGAAGGGGTCTCAATATGGAAACTGAGACACTGCTCTGAGCAAGACTACAAAGGCGTTGCTATCAGATTGGCTCACTAAAGAGGTGTCCAGCAATTCTTCTGACTTTGCCTGGTCCAGCATCTCCTTACTGCTTACAACTACACTGAATTGTTCTTAAATGCTGATAAAGTTTCTCACATATGGGCCTAAGGGGCTGGAGAGCATTTAAAAGTTGAGGAAGTAAGCAATATAGGAAAGAACCATGATATAAATAAGGGAAATACAAAGTATCCAAGTTCAGACTGAGTTTCCATCCAAACAAAGGCAATTCTTATAGTGTTATACTGTGTGTGTGTGTGTGTCTGATGCACATTTATGATGTGGAGTCTGGCATAGTAGAAACTGGAAAGATTTAGATCATTATAATTTTTAAACTTGAATTAATTAAAATAAATAAAATTAAAAATTTAGTTCCTCAGTCACATCAGTCATCTTCAATTGCTGTGTAGCCACAATGTTGTACAGCACACAAATAGAATGTGTTCATTGTTAACAGGGAATTCTAGTGGTTGGTGCTTTTAGAGATTGGTCTGAACCTCTTGAAATGTGTTGACTGCTTCAGGAGGTCTTGGAATTTCTATTTATCTTGGTGGAGGGGGGAAAAGAAATTTGAATGTTTCTGAACAACTCCTTCCAGCCATGTTACTACCTAGCCTGTTCTTCGTTTTTTCATATTTTAAAATGTTTTTCATCCAAGAATATCATCCTTAGCTGAGTTAAGTGGCAAACACCTATAATTGGGAAACTGAAACAGAAAGATCAAAAGTTCTGGAGCAGACTTGGCAACTTAGGGAGCTCCTATCTCAAAACAAAAAAATTTAAAATAATAATTTTAAAAAAGGACTAGGAGTATAGCTCAATGGTAGAAAGCTTGCTTAGCATGCATCTGGCTCTGGGCTCAAGTCCTAGCTCTGCCAAAAAAAAAAATTTTCCCTACCCTACATCTCATAAAAAGAAATAAGAAATTCTGAATTATAGCAAATGAGAAAGGAATCTAATTTTAGGAATGTCCAATTTGAACTCTCTCCCTGATTTTTTCTTCCTTAAGTTTTAGTCACTTCATCACTGTGCTTTTGGAACAGAGAGTTCTTTTCTCCTTAAACAGCCTCTAACAATAGGACACGTAAATACTACATATATGAATTGTTCATTGAGTAGACAAAATGGTGTGTGGACACACTTCTGGGAGTAGAGCAGTGGGCTGCTAGCACCTGCCCTTCTTTGCAGCCCTTGGAACCAAGATGTGCCTTTATTCTTGCTTCTTCCTGTAGTCTGCCTCCAGTAGCCATTATACAGTTGCTCTGACTCCTGGGAGAAAGTCCATATTATTATTATTACCTCAAATTTGGACTGGATTTTTTCTCTCGGTAACTTAAATCTTATAAACATAATGTTACATATGCTCATAGGAGCCCTAAGAAATCAAAAGTGTGGTATATACCAGTAATACCAGCTTCTTGGGAGGTTGAGGCAGGAAGATTGCAAGTTCAAGGCCAGCTTGGACAACTTAGCAAGACCCTATCTCAGATTTTTAAAAACAAAAAGGGCTGGGAATGTAATTCAATGGTAAATGCCCTAGTTTCTAACCTACTACCACAAATCCCGATGTACCACAAAAAAAAAAAAAAAAAAAAAAAAGAAAAAGAAAAGAAAAGAAAGAGGCCAAAGTGGCCTGTGGGTTTTATAAATGTAAATATAGACAAATCTTAGTCGTCACATACAGATTATCTGTCATGCAGATTACTCGTGACACATTTTAAATCCTTGGACAGTTTCTCTAAGCAAGCCAGTGTAAGCCAGGACCATCTCCTCCACCCCCAACCCAGCTGCTGGGTACTTAGGGAATACCAATTAGTCTTCATATTAGCTTAGGGAAGGCATAATTAGGAAGGTAAGTCTGCTACAAGAAAACCACATCACAAATATGAGTTTAGAGGGGGAAGTAAGGGGAACTGACCTACTCTTGCTTCAGCTCATCCAAGTTGACTGTAAGGTATGTTTTATAAACATGTGCACTGTAAGCACTCAGCAAGCTGACATGTTTACCAAAGGATTTGTTAAACACCCCATGGGTGGACATCAGACATGCCATGCGTATGCCCTGTGATATGGGGTATGTGGGAGGCTGCGGAGCCGCAGCAGGTTCTGGTAGCCCAAGTTGCCCGGTGCCTTTTAACAGTTCTGTGTTCTTGTCAGGCCTCTTTATGGCAGACTGTGGAGGTTGCAAGTGGATCCTGACAAGAAGGCCGCAGGTGGGTTCATCTTTGGGGAAAAGAGGAAGCAGCTGAGGGTGGAGTAACTTCAAGGCTACCACTCCAGGCTCTGCTTCCTACGTGGATGGTGTAATTCCTCTACAATGCAGTCCCCGTCGTCCGTCACCTAGCTTTAGTAACCATTGAAAATTGGATATTTCTAATGTTATCATTCCTTTTTCACTGATTAGCTGGGGTTCTTTCATAAAGAACTTGTCCCCAGTGACAATTTGGCTTTGCCAAGTACATTCAGATAGGAGAGGGAGAATAAGTACTTGAGCAAGATGAATTTACTAGCCTCAGTGGACACCCAAATTCCAAGATGGCATCAGTCGTAATAGCAAAGAAGAAACTCATGGATGTCAAGCTAGGGCAGCTGCCAAGCTGGACATTGATGTGGGATTTCACCCCTAGAGGCGTGGTTGGAGCCGTTCAAAGAGGTTACTGCCGTGTCACAACAATATGTCAGCGTGAAGAAAAAGCATCGCTGGAATTAACATGGTGCTGGCAGCTTACTGCTTTTCAACTACTGCCTTTCTTACAAGGAACACAAATGTGAGCAGTGACTCAGATACCACTGAAGAGGGGCCAGTGCGCAGGGTACTCTGGACTCCTAACCATGACTGCCTTGCTCCAGTTCCCTCTGAGAACTTAATCATTGCTGTATCTTTTCACATCCTGAGAATCAACGCCCAATAAAAGGGACTGGTTTAAAAAAATGAGGAAGCCTACTGGGATAGGCTTCTGTGTGACTCTCAAACCCCATAACTGTCCACATATTTCCACTTTACTATCTGCCTTTAGGTATTGTACTACCTATAGCAAATGTCATTCTGCCCTTGGTATGCTCTTAGAAAGTTTGAGATTAATAAATAATGCTTTACAGATTATGCCAAGTGAAGGGATTGAAAACCAAGAGTACATCATTGGAAGCTTCGTTGCCTTGTCTATCCCTGGTCAGATAGAAGAGGCAGGGCTGTGTAATGGGCACAGGAGAATTCGTTGTACCATTCTTGCTCATGCCTGTTTGAAATTTTTCATAATAAAAAGTTTGAAAATAATAACAGAAAAATAAATCTCCATCCCTAACTTCTGGGTAACTCTTGTGTGGGCCTATTCTTCATTTTTATACCTTACTATTACGAGCCCTTATATAGTGTGATAGTTTTCTTCTGAAGTCCCATCATCTCCGCTCTGCTTTCTCCTTAAAAGTCCTGGTACACACTTTGAACCCATTGTACCATCACTAGTACATGGGCTTTGGAGGCCTCAGATGCTGATCTTACCCTTCCACCCAGAAATCTCTTGTTGGAATTTACTGGGCACACCCTGCCCTTCTCTGTGCAGTCAGATCAGATGTCCTGAGCAGCTGCATATTCCACAAGCTTTAGTGGAATGCTTTTCTTTCCCACCATTTTCAGTTTAAAGCTTTCCTGGTCAGGTCAGTTGGCCTAGAAGTTAGCTAGTTCAGCCCCAGCCCCACACTGAGAGCTCAGTCTCCAGGATAATAAACCATAATTTCTTTCTTTCTTTTTTTTTTTTTTTTTTGTGTGTGTGTGTGGTGCTGGGAATTGATTGAATCTAGGGCCTTGTGCATGCAGGGCAGGCACTCTACCAACTGAGGTATATCCCCAACCCAACCACAGTGGTTTTAAGTTTTAAGGGACAAAACTATGATTTCATAATGTTTCTGGGCATCTCCAGTAATTTCAAGAGGAAAATTATATCATAAAAATGTGTTTTGAGGGCTGGGGATATAATTCAATTGATAGAATGCTTGCCTTGCATGCACAAGGCCCTGGGTTCATTCCCAGCACCAAATACACACACACACCACACACACATATTTTGAGGTACATTTACTAATGAAGTAAAAATGAATTCAATTTTGACATTTGGCTTATAGGATGGTATGTTGGGGGGTGGGGGGGGCACCAAGGAGTTCCTAGTAGTCTGCAAAAAGCAGGTGAAGGACAGAGTGACACTTTCCTGACCAGACAGAGTCACTTCTGTGAATGTTACCAACACCCCATCCCGCCCCCAACAGTTTTTCTAAATGTGTCTCTAGATTATCTAGCATGATCAGGTGCTCAAAAGTGTCCAGCATGCCAGGGCACCTGTGAGGCTGCTCTTGGTTTCATGAGAATATTCAGTATTGCCAGATGTAAGGCATATTTTAATCCATAAATCCCCCAAATGCAGCCAAAAGCCTTGGACTTAGAAAGCACGGAAAAGGAAGATTAAATGTCCCAAAAGCAGCTGATATAACAGAAGCACAGGGAGGAAATGCTTTCTCTTTTTCTCTCTTGTCTTACTATGATAAGGGTTACCTGGACCTCCTTTTGATTTGATATTAACATTCTTTTTCTTTCCTCCCTGTTCTTGCCCTACATCTATCTGTTTTCCCTCTGGTCCTGATTCGTTACTCTCAGCCTGTCTACTGCCTGTTTCCTGGACTAGTTTCTATATCTGTTTTCCTTCTCTCTTCTTCCACTTCTGTACCAGTATCTCCTTGAGATCAGCCACTGATGTAAATATTTCCCAAGCCTTCAAATGAAAAATTTCAAAGGACTTTCCTCCTGCCTGTCACCCCTGGAAAACACTTGTAGATATCCTTGATGGCTCTTAAAAACTTTAGAAGTTACTTAATATAATTGTTGGTATCATTCCTTGCTTGTTTATTCTTATACTTTCCAGTCACAGTCTTCTAGTTCCCCATTTAAACCAGTGTTTTCCTGGTGTATATAGTTAGCTTTCATCTCAATAAGCTACAGGAGGCATTTTACCATAAATTTTCCTTCCACCAATCGTTGTGTATATTATTTGTTTAGCTTTCTGTTTTTCTCTCACAACATCAGTATTTTTCTCCCAACTAAAAATATTTCCATGGCCAACACAGAAGGCCTTCTGACTGAAAGAGTCAGTTACAGCAAACAATTCCTAAAGGTTCCCCAGGGTGGGAGAACACATGAAAGGTCCATTCTTTCACAGGTTGCCTGTCCTGCCCTATGGGGAGGATGGGAATAGGGTAAGCCATGGTGCTGGGTAACCAACCAGACCTGTAGCCTGTACCATTTGGCTTATGCCTATGCAGTTAGTTTCTGGAGGTTAGAAATTTGTCAGTGATGACATCATATCATATTGCCCCTGATATTGTGTGTGTGTGTGTGTGAGAGAGAGAGAGAGAGAGAGAGAGAGAGAGAAGCACTCTACCACTGAGCTACACTCCCAACTCCTGATTATATTTTTAACGTTCTTAATATTGATGGGTGCTTTAGCCTTGATTAATCACTTACCACTGCACGGAATTAGCAACTACTTCGTCTCCATTATGATGAGTTCCAGTGCCAGTTGTGACCACTGGCTTCATTTCAGAGAAGAAGCTGCCTGCTGGTCCATCTGCCTGATTCCATGGTTTTAGCTCTAATCTTTACGTCTTCAAAGGCCTTTGGTGAATGATGTGCTTCCTCTGCAAGTCACTCTTGCAAGATACATGCTACCTCTGCCTCTCTTCTGTTTCCTGAGAGAACATCGATGACCTCAACTAGATTTCCTCACACTTCTCATTCAAAGTCATCTTTGAAAAGCAGCTGATACTTACTGCAGACCTGCTGTGTTCCAGGCACTATACTAAACTTTACTTGTGTTGACAAATCTGGTTCGACAGCCCCGTGAGATTTGTAATTACCATTTTAAACATCAGAAAACAGAGGCTCACAAGGTATTAAATGGCAAAATCAAGATTCACATGTAGGTCTTTCTGACGAGGAAGGCTTCGATGGAAATAAAAGTCTATTTTACTCAACCATGAAAAGAACTTCCATACAGGATTTGACTACAGCACCTTAAGAAATGTTGTCATGGGGCCGGATACAGTGGCACACTCCTAGGATCCCAACTACTTGGGAGGCTGAGGTAGGAGGATCACAAGTTCAAGGCCAGTCTATGTAACTTAGTGAGACTATCAAAAATAAAATTTTTAAAAAGGACTAGGGATGTAGCTTAGTTGGTAGAGTGCTTGCCTTGCATGCAGAAGGCCTTGGGTTCAATTCCTAGCATCACAAAATAAAGGGTCGGGGTTGCTGGAGGTGTAGCTGAGTGATAGAGTGCTTGCCTAGCATGTATATGTGAAGCCCGGGGTTTAACCCCCATTACCACAAAAAAAAAAAAAAAAAAAAAAAAAGTTCTTGTGGAGAAGTCAGACTTTACTCTGAAGCACAGTGAAAGGCTTCAAGGCTCTTCAGTTTGTGGAGGGCCAGGCCAGAGGGGATGTAGTTCAGTTACTGAAAATTGTGAAGGCTGTGATCAATTGTAAGTTATATCAGGGCCTCAATAGTGCCAAAATTGCTCAGTATTTAACAACATAGTCCTACTGGCAGCTTAAGTAAGCAGAGTTATAGAAAGAAAAGCCTTAACTACTTGGAAGCAGATCAGTACAGAGCTGGTGCCAGTGAATGGTGGAAACAGTAAAATCACAGGGTTGTGGAGCTGTGAGAAGATGTGGAAACTGTTGCAAGTGTAGGACTTAGTTTGGCAGGAGATAAATGTAGGCTGAGGTACTTGTACTGCCTAAGTATACGTGGTGTTTGGGATACATTGAGGGATAAATAATGGTTGTAATGAAGGGAAATGGAGGATGTTTATGGGAAAGGCTTAGATAAACTTGCTCAACTAAACAGTGTTTCAAGATTCAGCTGACTGATTTGTAGGTTTTAAAAATTTGATTAAAATCAAATCAGAATACTAAAAGGTTAAGTCTTAGGAAAATAAGTTCCTCCAAATAATAAATGCCACACATACATACATACACACACACACACTCACGAAAGAAAATTCCATTACACAGCAGGCAGATGACGAAACTCATCATCTCAGGAGAGGTCACAAACAGAATAGATCAGCTCATGAATGATAAATACACAGAGTGTGCAAGGCTGTGACCCTAACCTTTATGGTTATGCACATTGGCGTCTACGGTCTACCACAGTGCTCCCTTGGTGCTAC